ATTGTATATAATTATATATTATATATAATGTATATATAGTTATATATATACACTATATATTTTATATAACCAGATATATATATAGAACATATTTTATATATCTAAAACATATACTTTATATATTATATATGTGTGTGTGGGTGCAGGGGTGTGTGTGTGTGTGTGTTGGTGTTTTGTGCATTGTTTGCAGCCCCAACCAGGCAGTGTCAACTCAGTTTCCTTGTGTGCTTGTCATGCGCATCAGGTGTGCGCAGCTCTGTGTTGCTGTGTGGGCTGTGCGTCACCCTGTGTTACTCTGCATTGAATGCTGCTCTGTGTTACTACAGTGTGCCCTGTGTGTTGCGCTGTGTGGCTGTGCGTACCATGCACTGCCCTGTGTGTTGCGCTGTGTGGCTGGGCGCACCGTGCGCTGCCCTGTGTGTTGCGCTGTGTGGCTGGGCGCACCGTGCGCTGCCCTGTGTGTTGCGCTGTGTGGCTGGGCGCACCGTGCGCTGCCCTGTGTGTTGCGCTGTGTGGCTGGGCGCACCGTGCGCTGCCCTGTGTGTTGCGCTGTGTGGCTGGGCGCACCGTGCGCTGCCCTGTGTGTTGCGCTGTGTGGCTGGGCGCACCGTGCGCTGCCCTGTGTGTTGCGCTGTGTGGCTGGGCGCACCGTGCGCTGCCCTGTGTGTTGCGCTGTGTGGCTGGGCGCACCGTGCGCTGCCCTGTGTGTTGCGCTGTGTGGCTGGGCGCACCGTGCGCTGCCCTGTGTGTTGCGCTGTGTGGCTGGGCGCACCGTGCGCTGCCCTGTGTGTTGCGCTGTGTGGCTGGGCGCACCGTGCGCTGCCCTGTGTGTTGCGCTGTGTGGCTGGGCGCACCGTGCGCTGCCCTGTGTGTTGCGCTGTGTGGCTGGGCGCACCGTGCGCTGCCCTGTGTGTTGCGCTGTGTGGCTGGGCGCACCGTGCGCTGCCCTGTGTGTTGCGCTGTGTGGCTGGGCGCACCGTGCGCTGCCCTGTGTGTTGCGCTGTGTGGCTGGGCGCACCGTGCGCTGCCCTGTGTGTTGCGCTGTGTGGCTGGGCGCACCGTGCGCTGCCCTGTGTGTTGCGCTGTGTGGCTGGGCGCACCGTGCGCTGCCCTGTGTGTTGCGCTGTGTGGCTGGGCGCACCGTGCGCTGCCCTGTGTGTTGCGCTGTGTGGCTGGGCGCACCGTGCGCTGCCCTGTGTGTTGCGCTGTGTGGCTGGGCGCACCGTGCGCTGCCCTGTGTGTTGCGCTGTGTGGCTGGGCGCACCGTGCGCTGCCCTGTGTGTTGCGCTGTGTGGCTGGGCGCACCGTGCGCTGCCCTGTGTGTTGCGCTGTGTGGCTGGGCGCACCGTGCGCTGCCCTGTGTGTTGCGCTGTGTGGCTGGGCGCACCGTGCGCTGCCCTGTGTGTTGCGCTGTGTGGCTGGGCGCACCGTGCGCTGCCCTGTGTGTTGCGCTGTGTGGCTGGGCGCACCGTGCGCTGCCCTGTGTGTTGCGCTGTGTGGCTGGGCGCACCGTGCGCTGCCCTGTGTGTTGCGCTGTGTGGCTGTGCGTACCATGCACTGCCCTGTGTGTTGCGCCGTGTCACTGTGCGCTGTCCCCGGTGCTCCACCAGGTGCGTGTTGCTGTGGTCTCTGCTGTCAGCCCAGGCCCTGGGGGATGTTCACTGCAGGCTGTGGCTGCACGTGCATGTAGTGCACACACAGTGTGTGGTGTAACGCAGCGCGGTAACACCACACACATGCTCTGGGCTGTGCAGCTCCGCCTCGTGCAGCAGATTCCACCAACATCACCCGACTCTGCTTCTCTTCACTCCCCCGGGAGCAATCAGGTCCGTGGGGCCCTGCTCTGCAAGGAGCCGTAGGCTTGGTGAAGACTGGAGCCATTTATTGTGCTTGGACAGCGATAGTCGCAGGTAGCCAGCGCTATTCGGGTTCAGGATTACAAGATCAGCCTTGGATGCTTCAGCGCAGGTCATTTCATTGTCTCGGACGTGGAACAGCCGTCACATCATACCAGCAGGCAGCCACGGTGGCATTGCCCAGGACCCCACACTACATCCTCGTGCCCACCCATTCCCACAAGCAGAAAATAAATCGAACAACAGGAATAAAGACAAATGAGGAAAGGACACG